CGGGGCTGCGATGGGGAGGCTTGGAGAAGGGGTGGGGGGGGGGGGGGGGCCCCGAGGGGTGGGGTGGTGCGACGGGGGGGGGAGCGTGGGTGCTGCGTGGGGTGCGGTGGGTGCGCGTGGTTTGGGTTAGAGGAGCCTGGAGGTGGGGCTGGGAGGTGGGTTTAGGGCTGGGTGTGGGGCGCCGAGCCCAGTGTGGGGCAAAGGGTTTGCGTTCGGGGCTCAGCGTTGGGCTCAGAGCCCGGTGTGGGACTCAGGGTCTGGCAGTGTGCTCAGACACCAGTGTAGGGTTTAAGGTTTGGGGTTTAGGGCTCAGCATTGTGCTCAGACCTCAGTGTAGGGTTTAAGGTTTGGGGTTTAGGGCTCAGCATTGTGCTCAGACCCCAGTGTGGGGCTTAGAGTTCAGTGCTGTGATCAGACCCCAGTGTGGGGCTGAGGGCTCAATGTTCTGCTCAGATCCCAGTGTGAGTTTTAGGGCTTGGTGTTGTGCTCAGACCCCAGTGTGGGGCTCAGGGTTTGGGGCTGTGCTGAGACCCTGGTATGAGGCTCAGTGTTTGGGGCTCAGCACATCAGGGCCCAGAACTATGCTCAGACCCCAGTGTGGGGCTGAGGGCTCAATGTTGTGCTCAGATCCCAATGTGAGTTTTAGGGCTCAGTGCTGTACTCAGACCCTAGTGTAGGGCTCAGGGCTCAGTGCTGTGCTCAGACCCCACTGTGGGGCTCAGGCCGTGGTGTTGGCTTTGGGGCTGAGTGTTGTGCTTGAGTCTGGCTCCCTGTGTCCTGCAATGTCACTGAGGTCACCACAACCCCATGTCAGAGTGCGAGGGCAAGGGGACAGCGTGGTGGTGGGGTATAGGGACACAGAGGGCTGCAAGCTCAGCCCTGCCAACTGTAGCATCGCGCTGCTCACCTCGCCATGCTTCAGTTTACCCACACAGCAGCTCTTGCGTTATTCATCGGTTGCAGAGGGTTTTGCTAACCCAACCGTCCGCTTCTACCCGGGGAGCCCGGCCAAGGCGTGCTGCTGCCTCTCCTGCTCCGCAGGGTGAGGTCACGGCCTCTGCGTCTCGCCCATCTCTCGGCTCATCGTCTCCCGGCGTGTTTATCTGCTCGCCTCCATCCTTGCTCTTCCACCCCTGCCTTGCCCTTTGCCCCGAGGCCTGGTGGATCGCCGCGCCGGCTCCCAGCTGGTTAATGGCCGGGGCGCCTTCCTTCTGCCCCATCCCATTGCCTGCTTTGCATGGCGGGTGCCAGCGCCCGGCTGTCCTCCGTGTCCCCTAGCGAGTGCCCGCTGTGTCCTGAAAGCAGCCTGGCTTCCTCCATGCAGCCTTCCTGCTGCGGCGACACCCGGAGGAGCTGCAGCAGGTGGGTGCGCGTTGCAGCAGGTGGGCGCCAGGCTGAGCGGCAGGAATTCTGCTGGAGAAGTTAATGGAGGGAGAATGCAACGGGAAGAGCAGGCAGCTCCTCTTTCTTTTTTGCGCGTGCGCGTGTGTGAGCAGATGGGTGAAGCCTGTGTGGTTTGTGGGTGTGCCCCCGCGGGGCTGTGTGCGTGTGAGGCAAGCGTGCGCGAGGCCGTGTGTGCTTGGCAGCATGTTTGTATAACCTTGTGGGTAGGTGTTGGGTGGAACGATGGCAAACGGTGGTGTGGCCGGTGCCGGCGGCTGCTGCGTGGTGCCAGGGGGGTGTTTTTGGGAAGGGGGGAAGAGAAAAGGGGGGGGCTTTGGAAGCACTTTGCAAGCGACGCGCTTGCAGCTGCCGGCTGTGTGTGCTCAGAGCCTGTTTGCACGCTGGGGGTGCAAGATATGTGTGCGGGTGCGTGCACACACCCTGGACTTTTTCAGGGAGGGAGGGGGGGGTGGTGGTGAGTGTGTGTGTGTGTGTGTGTGTGTGTTGGCTCTGGGGCAGGGAGAATTACAGTGGAGACAGTGGCTTTGGCGGGGGGCCAGGGCTCCCGCCGTCTCGGGGAGAGGTACGAGGGAGGGTGCAGTGGGACATGCAGCTCAGCAACCAGAACATTTTATCGCTTGCTGACAATGCTAGCACCCGGAATGGGGCTGCAGGTTTTGGGGGGGGTGGGGAGAGCTCAGGACGGGGTTGTTTTTAATCCCCTTTCTTCCCACTCCTTCCGATCACTCTTTCCCAGTGGCTGTGCTCCTTGTCACCGTGGGGTGAAAGAGCTCCAAATGCAGGGTTTGGCATGGCAGCCTGCAGCTTGAACTTTAGGGTATGGCCTTTCTCTGTTCTTGAGTTCCCCCATAGTGGTCGAAGTAGGGGAGGATGTGAACCAGGTGCCATAGAGACTCCTCAGTGCCACAGTGACTCCCTGGTGACATAGGAACCCTTGGTGCCAGCATCATGCGCAGGGCTACGGGCATTCCAAAAGGGCTGGGTGCCCCTGGGGGGGGGGGTCACGGGGCAGGTTTGGGGCTGACATGAGGTGCCAGAGGAGCGAAGGGCAGCGAGGCCCTGTGGGGGGGCAGCAGGGACAAAGCTTGGCACTGCGCACGAGTCCGCGTGTTCCTGTGTGACCGCTCCGGGAAGCCTGCCAAGGGGATTGCCCTTGAAATAGCACTTTCCGTGCCCTGGCTTCCCTTGCTGGAGGTTGAGAGGGGAGCCTGTACCATTGCTTTGCATCCAGCCCCCTCTTTTCCCAGCACCCCGTTTGCGGAACAGCGCGGGAGGAAGCACAACCCCAATGCACCCGTGCCGATAACAGCAGCCGCCTTATCGCGGGGCTTCTGCAAGAGCGGGCGGCACGGCTCCCACCCCCCTGCCCTTATCTGCCTCCCCTCATCTGCCTCGGCTGTTTTGCTCTGCTCACGGCCCCCCAACGCCCGCGGGGTCGGCCCTTTGGCAAGGCCCCACTGCTTGGCAGCCTGCCCCCTCTATCCTTTTTGAAGTTTAAAATCCATTTAAGTCAAGAGGAGGGAAAGTTATTGCCGCTAAAGCCCCTTGCGTTTAGCAGTAAATCCTCTTTGCTGCTCCAGCACAGCCTCTTAACACCAGCGGGGCCGTACGGGTGTCTTCGGGGGGGGGTGGGAGGTGCCAAGCTGCTTTTGCCCCCAGCAGCACTGCAGTTTCCTTGCTGCCTGCTCACCATTTGCTCACCACCTCCTCGCTTGGTCTGCAAAAAGGGGTTCTGCTTTTGGCATTGCCCCCTCTGGTGCGGGAGCAGGCTCATGCCCCTGCACTCCCGTGTGCTGGGGAAGTTTGAGGCCATCCGGTTCAAAGCAGAAGCGTGCCCCCAGCTCTCTCACCACCACCCTTTTGCTCCTTGCTTCCTCTTCTTCCTCTCTCCAGAAGGGTTGGTGGCTCTAATCCCTCTCCAAGCAGGTGGGCAGCCCCAGAGCCCCCATGTCCTCAGCTCTGCACCACCCACTGAAGCCACTTGTGTCCCCAGGCACCCACAGGACGTGTTTCCCATGGCGCCCTCCTGTCTCCAGCACAGAGGGCTTGATGGGCCGGCACGGTGCGTGGCAGCGTTTTTATTTGATTTCCCTTCTCCTGTACTGGTGATATTTAAATATTAATGTCTGCCTCTAATTGCTGTGTCAGAGGAACGGGTCGGCGCGGGAGTGAGTGCAGGGGAGGCAGCGCCAGCTCATTTTGTTGTCTTGGGGAGTGTTTGCAGAGGAGAAATGTTTGTGCGCGCCCGTGTGTAGACACATATGTGTGTATTTACACCACTGAGATCTGCTTGGCCCTGACTGCAGCGTGCAGTGCGGGGACCTATTGTGTGGGAGGGGTCCCTGTGCCAGGAATGGGGACAGATGTGCTGCAAGGAGAGGGCATGGTGCCCCCGGAACGATGGGGTGGGATGAGTATTGGATGGCGTAGGATGGGGTAGGATGGATGGGATGGGGATGCCACTTCCCCAGGAAGGGAGGGTGGGCTGCCCACCCCCAGGTGCATCTCCATTCTCTGAGAGCTCTCTGCCAACCCCAGACCCAGTGGGAAGAATGCAGGTGAGATGCAAGAGCCATCGTGGGGGGTGAGCTGGGGCTGTGCCTGGTGTGGTGAGCTTGGCTCCTGGGGCTCAGAGCCTCCAAACCTCAAAAGCTGGGCAACAGAGGGGGAATGAAGCAACCCCATTGGCACTGAGGCACGTCATTCTGGCATCGGGGCGTGCAGTGGGGCAGCACCACCCGCTAGCCAACTGAGCACTCAGGAGGGCCGCAAGCCTTTTACGCACACCCAGAGCAATACTTATGGGACGGGCAAAATTACATGTCCTGTAAAACTGGGTCGGAGCACGGGGAGGTTTGCACATGGAGGGAGAGGGGGGATGCACCAAACCAGGGGCGCGCGTGCCGCCGGGGACGGCGGGGTTAACCATAGGAGGGGGGGGGGATCCCACGGGCAGAGCGCAGTCAGATGCTTGTGCGCTCGCTTCCTGTAATAAAGCGAACGCCGGCGTGCTTGTCACCTGCTCTCTGTTGTGCTGCCAAGAGGCAGACATGCTGCTTCTTGCTGCGGGCTCTGGCGCGCTCCCCACCGCCTCTCATCCCGCCCGCCCCGGGCGCGCGCCCGTTGCCAGCACGGCCTAGCAGGTGTTTCGGGGAGGGTGCGACGCTGCCTGTTGCCGCTCGCCCTACGTGGGGTGGAGGCTGTTGAACCGTTCCTCGGTGCCGTTGAACCGCTCCTCGCTGCTGTCAAACCGTTTGTTGCCTCCTCGGGGCAGAGCGGCAGAATGGAGCGGCAGCGCTGTGGGTCGTGGGGGTTGTAGGTGGGGTGTCTGAGCTCTGCGGGCGCGCTGCTGGGTGTCCTGGGGTGCGGAGCAGCTGCGGGGTGGGTGAAGCCCGTGGGAGGGCATCTGTGGGTGTCTCCGGTTGTGCCGTGTTGTGCAGCATGGGAGAGGATCTGTGCAACCCAAAGGGAACTGGGTGGTCTGTGTAAGCAGTGCTGCTGCGCACTGTGCCACCCCCTGTGGACACTCAGGATGCTGCTGCTGTGAGGGCAGCCAGCCACTTCCCAGCTTCCAGCTTCTTTAGGGATTTTCCAGGGGTGAGGCACTGGAACAGGTTGCCCAAAGAGGTTGTGGATGCCCCATCCCTGCAGGCATTCAAGGCCAGGCTGGATGTGGCTCTGGGCAGCCTGGTCTGCTGGTTGGTGACCCTGCATGTAGCAGGGGGTTGGAACCAGATGATCATTGTGGTCCTTTTCAACCCAGGCCGTTCTATGATTTTCCACCTTTAGGTTCATGTCCTCTCACCCCTTATGGTTCTCCGCTGCTCTGACCCCTGCAGCCACAGCATTGCCATCCCCATTTTAACCCACAGGCTCTGCGTTCGCTGGGGTTGCTGCCATTAATCCCAGCTGCGGGGAATTCGTGCCTCTGGAGGGGGCTGGTTGGGGGGAGCTGGCTGGGGGGGGGGCTGGCCTCCATCCTGCTCCCCGGAAGGGCAGTGGGTTATTTTGGCGACACAGAGATCAGATGAAGCCAGTGCCCGTCCCCAGCTGCTCGCTGTCACCGTGGGGCCACAGCATCCCGCCCCATTCCAGCCGTGGCTGTCGGCTCCAGCTTTGTTTCCTCCGTATAACAATATGATGGGTTAGGGTCAAGCTGTGGATTCATCACTTGTTGGAAGACTTTGCAGAACAATAAAGGTGTCTGGCTTTATATCTGCTCGTATTTTATCCGCGCTGCGGCCTTTCCCCAGCGCCGGCCGGGATTTACGGTGGGGGATATTTTAACGTGTCGAGGCGAGATGGGAAAGCCGAGGCCGCCCGCGCCTCCCAGCTCTCCCTCCCCACGCCTTTGCATTCAGTGCCTGTGCGCTGAAATATTTACCTTCCAGCTCCTCTGACAGTTCAAGCCGTCTCGTGAAGCAAAGGTTATTGAACTGCGAATGTTATGACATTACATTTTTGTGTCTGCACTTTCAAGATGCGTGATGCAGCCTGAATGATAAGTGATCTCGGGGTTAAGGGTGGGCTTTTTTTTTCTTTTTGCTTTTCCCCTCCTCTCCCTCCTTTCTGCTTTCCTCCCCAGCTCGGTGCGGGCTCTTGGCTCTGCTGGGACTTGATAACGCTCCCTTTTATTGCCCTGCCTTTGCATTCCGTGCGTTCGGGGCTGGGGTTGTGGGGAGGGTTTGGGGCCAGCGATGGGACAGCTCTGTTGCCGTGTTGCTGCACAGTGCTGGGCTTTCCCCAGCATGAAGCTTTTGATGTACCCTTATTGGGGTGTCCCTAATTTGCTCTGGGCCACAGGTTCGGTGCAAGAGGTGATGCACAGCGCTCACCTGTGCCCATCTTGCATCCCCAGTTTGGGGGCCACCGTGTGACCCAGGGGGCATTTGAGCATGGGGACAAGTGACAGTGGGGATGGCCTATCCTATACACACTAGAGGGCAGCAACAAACTGGAGCAGCACTGCAGGGCCAGGCTGCCATTGCTCCAAGGGATATTTGGGGGTTGGGGTCGGGATTTGTCCCCATGCAGCGGGCTGGCAGGCAGTGATGGCTTTGCAGGCAGTTTCACCCAACCGGAGGTTCCGAAATGCAATCAAGCAGCATGATGAGAGCCAAACCCTCACCACAGCAGCCCTAAGCCAATCTGACCCGTGGTGTAATATCGTTCCGGGAGCAAATTAATTAAGTTATTCCATAAATTTGGCTGCTCTCGCTGCTGGTGAATCACATCTGCCCGTGCCTCCCAGGCTCCCCTTGGCATCGCCCTGCAGCACCCTGGGATGGATCTCAGCCCCACATCGCCCCGAGGTGTGGGGTCGGGGTCGTCCGTGCTAACAGGATCCAGCTGTGCCGACGGAGAAAAAGAGGTCAGGGCCCGGGAAATTAAATGTTCATAAATGTAGGCCCAAGCGCTTAAAAAGTAGGGCAGTGCCATTAAATCTCATTAAAGTTTAATACCTATCAGTGCCACTTCAGGCAGCCCTTGGACATTGCTTTAATTTGATGGGTGTTAAGGGAGAATTATCAAATAATTGTGCTGGCTGGGGACTTGCTTTTATCATGTTACATGGAAAGCTCTCCCGGCTTTGTGCCTCACATCAAAACAGCACGGGGAGGTATTGTTCTGGGGGGGGGAAGGAGGGCGTATCGGGGGGGGTCCTGACTGCTGGGGGAGGGATGAGGGATGGGAGTGATGTTGGCTGGGGGGTGGCACAGGGCTTGAGCTGCCCCTGATGGCAGCAGGAGCAGGGCACCGGCATCCCTGATGGTGGCGTGGCGATGGTGACCATCCTGCCGTTGCTGTAGGACTTCCTATTGGCCCCACATCCTGTGACAGCACAGCAGACGTTGCTAATTACTGCTGATTTTTGGAAGGTGGGTGGTGGAGTTGCAGTTGGAACATGCAGAGCGTGGTGAGGTTGGGGATGCGGGTGCAGAGGCTCGTGCAGGACCACGCATTTTTGATAGGGTGCACCCAGAGTTATTATTATTTCCTGCTATTTTTTTTTCACCCCTTCCGGCTATAAAAGTCCCAGTTGATGAAGAATTAGTGCCAGGCTGTTAGTCCTGGGTGTCATGAGATAACCAGGGTGCAAGGTGCTGCCGTGTAAATGCCAGGGCCGGGGGAGCGCGGGGAAGGGGAGAGCTGAGCTGCTGCCATGAATTATTCAGCAGTGCCTGATTTCACATTATTCTCACTGATACTTTTACAACCTGTCAGTAAATAAAAAGATTCTACATTATTTATAGAAATGGACCCGAATTGGTTAGGGGAATTTACTGTTGCTATTATTAGGGACTGCTCAGCACCACGTTAATGAGAGCTGGGATATGGCAAACGGTGCTTTCTGTTGGCGTGTCCCCGTGCCCAGCTCTTCTACCTGCCTGGAGGTGTGGTGTGGGCTCTGTATGGCGTTGGGCTGCTTGGGGACATCGTGCTGGGGACGTCTCCTTGCTGGGGTCGCGTGCTTTATTGGTTGGGGACATCTTGTTGGGAGCATCTGAGCATCCGCTGTGTTGGCTGGGAAGTCGCCTTGTTGCGGACGTTTCCCTTATTGGTTGGGGACGTCTCCTTGCTGGGGACATCTCCCCTGTAGGTTGGGGACATCCTGCCCTGCCTGACTTAGCACACAAGGTGGGGTTGCTAGGAGGTGCCCAGGGCACCGTTGGATGCAGTTGTGCAGCTGAGCCTGGTGGGGTGAGCGAGGCGAAGCCGAAACCCAAGAACTTAATGGTTTGTTTCCACTGTCCTAAGGTGCTTGCTACAAGCCTGCCGGTGACAGTTTTATTGGCAGGCAGGCCATGCTAGAAGGATTGTAGGCTATTTACAGTGTTGAGGCCATGACTTTGTGAGCAGACAGTTAACATAAATTCACATGATGGATCAGTTATCACTTCATTGAACTTGTGGCGGATCCATTGAAGGCTGTGCAGTAACATACTGTTTCCTGGCTCTGCACAGCGCTGGGATACATTAAATACACTTTATTTATAGCTTACCATTGCTGCACTGTGGGCAGGAGAATGCAGCTTTTGCAACTATCATCTAATTTTATGATGAGCATTAAAGCAAGGCCTATAATTTGCACCTTTTTATTCATTAGACACTGGTGCAGCCATAAGTCAAGAATG